TACTGGAATATCAATACGTTTCTTCTAGCAAACAAAGTGTTGTGAAAATATTTTCCAAAAATTTTATTTAAACGTCGCCTAATCATCCTTATAGTTTTCATGTCTGCAACCCCTCATATCCTTCACTCTAGCTAAGAAAAAGAGCCCAGGGGCGTAGTTCTAACACAGATCTCTTGAACACACCAGTTGTGCAGTCTACATGCACACGCTCAATGTTGATATCACCTGCCCTCAGCTTTTCCAACATGTTCTAATCTGTCTCCAATGGTGAGGTCATACCTTAAAATGACCCACTAAAACAGATGCATTCTAATCCTGATCATATGCAAGCCACTTTCTTTCTTTGTCAGTAACTAAAATGACATGTTAGTTTATTCTCGAGAACTAGTATATTTAGAAAAAATTATGCATTGAAAGGATCTGTTTCAAGCCAACTGACATTCATATTGAATAACGTCAATATGAACGTCAGTTGTTATTGTTTTTGTTGTTAATCTCCACCTGAGGATTTTTTCCATTGCTTTTTAGAGAGAGGAAGGAAGGGAGGGAGAGGGTATGGAGAGAGAGAGAGAATCATCGTTGTGAGAGAGACACATTGACTGGTTGTCTCCTGCATGCACCCCAATCAAGGGAATGAGGAGAGAACCCATAACCCTGTTATGTTCCCTTAACCAGGAATCAAACCTGCAACTCTTTGGTGCACAGGCCGGCACTCTAACCACTGAGCCCACTGGCCAGGGCAAAGCATAATATATCTTTGAGAATAGCTATATATTTTACAACCAATGCAATAGGTTCAGAGTACTTCCATGGCACAATGTACTCAGGGATGTAGGTGCTCAAATGGGTGAAAGATTCTCATGGCAGTCACACCCACGGCAACTAACTGTGCTGGAATGAATCTATACACATTCCACACGTGTCTCTGATTTCTCACTAAGGTACATGCAAGAAACCTAAGCATCACCAGCCAGGATGTCAGCCTCATCCATGAACTGGGTGCTGAAGAGGATGACTCTGTTTGATTTCCTCTCTTTAAGAAGGTTCCACACACGGTGCCTTGAGAGAGGATCTGATCCAGCGGTTGGCTCATCCAGTAGCAAAATCTGCACAGCACAGAAGCACATAAAATCATTTCCCCTCCCAGGCAAAATTTCATTAAAAAAGCAACATGTATTTGGAGACATAGCTCAGGACTTAATTTTCCATTGTAACTGCTCTCTTGCTTTTAGTGTTCACAAATTAAGTCTGACTGAATACAATAGTTTCTCAGCCCTCAATCTGATTTTACCGGTAATTTTAGTTCGATTTACCTGGGGATCTCCTAAAATGGCAATTCCAAAAGTTAGTTTCCTTTTTTGTCCACCGCTTAAATTTTGAGCAAGAATGTCTTGAATATTTTCCATTTCCAAGTCCTGTAACACTTGTTGTACCTAAACCAAAGAAAGGTTATTTGGTCCAAAACCCAGAATGGTTATTTAAAAAAAAAAAACCCAGTATCATTTGTCTGTTCATTATAAGGGGCCTTTTTGCCCGTTAGAGGGTGAACTGGGTAGAAGTAACACAAGTGCAGTTAGAATTTCCTAGGTAAACAGTTTCATCCTCATGGCTGCATGGCAATGAACATGGAATGTACCTCTCGTTCCACTTCCTGTGGCTGGATCCCTTTTATTTTGGCAAAGAGCCTGAGGTTCTCCCTCACTGTCAGGAAGCCGAATTGCACATTGGATTGCGGGCAGACTCCAGTGAGCATGCAGATAGTCTCCAAGTCAGCCGTTTCTGAAAGTGAGTGGTTGTAGATGGTGACCGAACCTAGAAGTTAAAGGTAGACAGTTAACATCAGGGTAATGTTGCATGCTTGCTTTATGTAAGATATTTTTAAATGAAAAAACAATGCGTGTCAATCACAAGAGTCCTTTAAAGATATTGGGCCTACCTATAGGGAATACACTATTGACTAATTAAAAATGTAATGTTCATAAGACATCTGACCCAGCTGGGTGCCAATTCATAGCATAAAGCTACTTACCAGGAAATATTTAAACCAAAAAGATTTACCTCAATAAAAAGAACATGAATCTATACAAGAATAACTGGAAGAAACTTCTAAAACTTTTAAATACCTGCATGTGACTAGTAGTTAATGAAACTACTATTGAAATTAACTAATAAAAATGCACAGTTAATTCATTTGCCCATGTTCTTGTCATTAGATAATTGTCTTCTCACCTGATGTGGGGTCCGACAATCCACTGAGTATGTTTAACAGGGTCGTTTTCCCAGCTCCACTGTGACCAAGAAGCGCAGTGATCTGGCCTTCATATATGTCAAATACCAGACCTGGCAGTATATATATAAAAAAATTATACTCAGAGCCTACATAGTAACTTTACATTCTCTGAAATTTTTGTAAGTTCTTATAATATGGGTATATATTTGGCTAGCAATAGTCAGAATCATCCTAAAATTCCTTTCTTTAAAATGGTATCTGCTATGATATACATTTTATAGGTGTAATATTACCATAATATATTATTCTATGATTAACAATTTTGGGGATCAAAGCAGTTTTGTCTTTAAAGATGGGCTGACTGCAATGAAGATAGCTTTCGGATTAGAGAATGCGGTGAGCTGAAAATCCACTAGCATGATCCTATCATGCATCTCTCAAACCTATAGGATGTCAGGGTTGCATCTGACTTTCTGATATTATTACATGGTTTTTCCTTTGGAAGGAAACATACTGGGTTCGAACAAAGGAGCACCATGATAGCTGGACTATATGTTCTTCGTCTGCCAAGAGAGTATCACAGTTGAGACACAGTCTTGAAACCACCCCGCCTGTTACATATGATATTTATTACCTTTCAAAGCTTCTACTTTTTCATGCTTCCCTTTTTTATATTCCTTTTTAAGATTTTTTATTCTGGAAAAAAAAAGATGAAAATGTTTTGAAGAAATGGTGGAGGTGGACAGATGGTTGAGGCAACCACTCACTGGAGGGTTTCTTTCTCCTTTCTGCCTCACCTGCCTCTTCCTTCTCATCGTATTAACCAGGAAGCAAAGAGGAAAGAGACAGAGTGAATCGCAAAGAAAAGGGGGTGAAAACAACCAGGGAGATGGTGACCGTGTCTGTCACAAAGACAGCAGGCAGAGAAAGAGAGCCAAGCATGAACATTGGAAAAGAGATCACATGAAGAAAGTGGAAATATGAATACTGTTTATTCATGGATGGCTGTTGCTAAACCACAGATATTAGTAAATGTAAATGCTGACAATATAAGAAAACAAAATGTTATCTAGAAAGAGGGTAGCCCTTCCTGAGGGCAGCAGCCTGGACATCAGTGGGTACAAGAAGGACACTGAAGGAAACCATTTGTCATGTCTGGGTTTTGCCCGATAGATCTCTGGTCTCTGACGGGTGTTTCATTTGCATCTCCAGGTAGTTCTTTCATTACCTGATGGCTTCTTTCCCATAGAATTCTGGAGACACGGGTTCAAAAGAGTCATTAGATGAAGAATCTGAATCTATTTCATTCTCAAGGGCCACGTGGTCAGCTCTTTGGTGTTGAAACCAAAAAGAGGGTTTTAGGAAAAACCAGGGAGAATGTCGACGTCCATGTTCAGCTACACGAATGGGAGGCAAATAAATATTGGGTCAGGTACCACTTTAAGGATTGGAGTCACCATAGCAGTAGTATTCTTCATCTAGTTCCGACATATGCACTAATAATATAATTATCTTTCATTGCTTAGAAGTGTCTTTGTCTTTAAAAAAATGTTTTTTTATTGATTTCAGAGACACCACTTTAAGGATTGCAGTCACCATAGCAGTAGCATTCTTCATCTAGTTCCGACATGTGCACTAATAATATAATTATCCTTCATTGCTTACAAGTGTCTGTGTCTTAAAAAAAAATGTTTTCTTATTGATTTCAGAGAGGAAGGGAGAGGGAGAGATGGAAACATCAATGATGAGAGAGAATCATTAATTGGCTGCCTCCTGTACACCCCCTACTGGGGACTGGGCCTGCAACCCTGGAATGTGCCCTGACCGTGAACCAAACCTATGGCCTCCACATTCATAGGTTGACACTCAACCACTGAATCACACTGGCTGGGCGCAAGTGTCTCTTTTTTTAAAGAAACAATCTAAAGTGTCATGGCAGAACAAGATCTTAGGAAGTTATTCTATAAACACAGTGCAGAATACCATTAGGCTTATTTTTAAAGTTTTGAAAAAAATGCTTACTAATTTATAGTCAACACACCATAGGTATTATTTAACCCACTATATCCTAAATATTGTCATTTCAATCTATAATCAATATTAATATTATTAATGATATACTTTTTATTCTTGTACAAAGTATAGACCATTAAAGAAATGCAATGAATAAAATTGTGTTGAGTCACAATCATGAATCTACTTACTGGGCAAAACTTTGTCAAAATATAATGTCAATGCCAAATAGAGAAAAGTATCAAAAACCAACATGAAACAAGTAGCTATTATTAGGTTTGGGTTGCTTGAAGAGTCCAAATGGGTGTTAGCATTCACATCATAGTCCAAATGTATAAGCTAAAAAACAAACAAACAAAAGACATAGACTATTAAAAGGATAAACGGAGCATCAAGAATTATTATTGTCTTACTAGAGGCCCAGTGCATGGATTCGTGCACGAGTGGGGTCCCTCGGCCTGTCCTGTGCCCTCTTGCAATCCAGGACCTCTTGGGGGATGTCAGAGAGCTGGTTTTGGCCCAATCCCCGCAGGCCAGGTCAAGGGACCCCACTGGTGCATGAATCCATGCACCAGGCCTCTAGTATGCATATAAGATCTTTGGTTAATCTCCTCCCGCCCTCCCCTTTGCCCCTTTCCCTCTGAGATTCATCAGTCTGTTCCATGTTTCCATGCCTGTGGTTTCTGCTCTTGTGTTGAACATCTGCCCTCTGGTGGTCAGCGCGCATCATAGTACCGGCAAGTTGGCCAGTTACTTGGGCTTTTATGTATATAGATAGATTATAGACATTGGGATTGAACATAATTCCTGTCTTCACAGAGCTCTAAGCTAAGGGAAGAGATAACAATGAGCCATCTAACTACAAAGCAATTTGGGAAGTTAATGGAAATAGGTATAAAAAGCTCAGAGACCCACTGGCAGAGCAGGAAAGTCCTCCAGGCAGAAGTAAAAACTCAAGGAAGGTGATATTTGAGCTGGGATGCCTATAGGATTGCATCCAGCTTAGGATGGGGAAAAGGAGAGAGCCTTCTGGACAGGGGGCAGGATTTGAAAGTGAAACCATGCAGGAGTGCAAATACTTCAGTGGTAGGACAGAAAAAAAAACCAGAATAATTACTTAGCATATAGCAAGATAGAATGAGTTTATAGGTAACATCACTCTTCATTTGGCATTTATAGTTATGCTGTCATAACTAGAATTAATTTTCTGAGAGGAGGCTCAGTTTCATTTAAATTGGCCCTTCAAAAGGTAAAAATGTATTTCCATGGAATTCCTGGTTTTCAAATACTGGCCATAATATTAAGGGTCATGTTTCTTGAGCATTAAATTAGATACCCCTTCAATGGGACAGCCCATTAAAAGTTAAAGCAGAACCGCATCAGGAATGGAGTATTAGCTGGTACTTAGGGACTTAAAAGAAAACGAACTGTGTTGAGAGAGAAAAATAAAAGCATACACCTCCTATCTATACCTTCTGTATGTATCTTTCCCAAGGTAGATGGGAATTTTAATGTTTAGCACCTGAAGCATGAATTATTCAGAGGAAATCTTTTTTAAATATTTTGTAGAAAAGGAAGTAGTTACATCAGCTCTTACCTGGGACATTCCGACAGTGAAAGCAAAGGGGCTAAGAAGACACAAGGTCCATTCCAAAAAGGCAGGGAGATGCCTATACAACGCAGTGAAACCCAGGCTCCCCCAAACGACCGTGAGCAGAAAGACGACAAAGCTGGTAAGGAATGGTTTCTTTATCAGGACGCTCATCATGAAAGCTAAAGTTATCTGAGAGAAGAGAAACACTTTAGGTAGTATCTACTTCCCTGAGAATCATCAGTGGCATGCTAAAGGACAGGATTTCATAGCATGATATTTTGTCCATTCCCTCCCCACCCCTAGATACTGTCTCATGTAAATACTCAAATACTGCAAACAGAAAAGAACAGGTGTGATCAGAATTAGTGATAAATAATGGGTAGGTTTCCCCGAGAAAAAGAAGAGGGAAGGAGGGATGGAGGGAGGAAGAGAGAACTTGATTAAATCCATCAACTCACCAAAGACAAGCCATAGAGGAGAATGAGCATGAAGACCACCACAAAGCTAGTGAGGACGACAACACGGGTAGATGTTACAACAAGAGCCATCAGAATTGCCATAATAAAGATGAAGCCAGCATACATCACACTCCAGGAGAGCCTTGCAGAGAAACAAAACATCAGTTCAGAGTGCTGCTACTCCATCACTGGACTCATTCATGGGTTCAGCAAATGATTTGTGAAGCTCATCATATAGCAAGAGTAAAGGGAATACACACTAATACATCAGAAAATTTCTCTGCCCCTAAAGTTCATATTCTACAGGGGACGGTAGGCAATAAACAAGTAAACAAATAATATAGGCAGCCAATTGCAAAATAAGAAAGAAACTGAGTGCTAAAAAGTGAGAATAATTGGGCAAGGTTTCAGGGAAAACATTTATGAGGATTTGTCAGTTCGAGACTTCTTCTTTCACTAAAGTAATTGTATAAATATCATGGGCCAAAAGTAGATGAAGCAGCAGCAAACTTTGTCTCTGAAGAGCCAGATAGTAAATATTTTAGACTTTTTAGACCCTGTGGTCTCTCTTGCAACTACTCAACCCTGCCTTCAGAGCACAAGAGCAGTCGTTGAAAAATGTGCAGCCCTAACCAGTTTGGTTCAGTGGATAGAGTGTCCGCCTGCGGACCAAAGGGTCCCAGGTTCGATTCTGGTCAAGGGCACATGCCTGGGTTGTGGGCTCAGTCCAATGTGCAGGAGGCAGCTGATCAATGATTCCCTCTCATCACTGATGTTTGTATCTCTCTCTTCCTCTCCCTTCCTTTCTGAAATCAATAAAAACATATATATGTATATATTTTTTTAAAGAAAAGTGAACAGATCATCGTCACAACAGGAAAGTTGCAATGGCAGCCTGGACATTTTTCTAATGAACTGTTGTGAATGAACACTTAGTTTTCTTTTGTTCAAAGTAGAAAAGTCATTGTGTTTTGGGAAGTCTTGCCTAACTGTGATGATTCCTTTGCACAACATACCTCTATTCATCTGAAATTGTTCATCTCTCTGCATTCTATAAACCTCTCCTTAATTTCATTCATATGCCAAACACACAGAATGGCACAGCCTTTTCTTATGGGAGGAACGTTCCTATTTTTGTTAACCCTTCAACATCAGATATATTTGCTCTCTCTTTCTCTCATTATCATCATCATCATCATCATCACCATTATTGGTTGCTTTTCTCTAATGCTCTGTAGGTTTCCATGGCTTCTTAAAAAATATATTGACCAAAATTCCCTACAGGATTGAGTTACACAATTTTAATATAAATAGAGACACCAGAAGAAACTCCCATTCTAGACCAAACCAAGCCAGCAATGCATTTTCTCCACTTTTTGCATTGTTTATTAAATATTTCTGGAGGAAAAATAAATTTGGTATAAATTGGCAGCATTAATAATATGTAGTCTTCCTATTCAACAGTATCTAACATTTATTTAAACACAACATGGTATATATCTACAACTATTCTATATATTCTACAATTCTTGTTTAACATTGAGAATAATATCATAGTATGTAAAAGGCACATTCAAACCACTGCTTTCTGATTCAGGAACTTATGCTTTTACTACTCTTTGTCTCAAAAGCATTGTTTGGCTAAGCTCATTCAAAATTCTGTGGCTAATTGGTTCCTTAACTTACATCTCTCAGTATGTACTACTTCCCAATACTGAGTTCTATCCAATATTCTGTGTTTAATTTTTCTTAATTCCACTTTAAATACATTTCCTATTTAATCTTTATGGCCAATAAGAAATAGATACCATTATCAATGTTTAACAGAAGAGAAAACCAAGATTTGAAGAGATTAAGTAACTTGGTCAAGGTGGCAATGCTCAGATGGAGATGACCATGGCTTCCCACCTCCCAAGCCTGTGTTCTCACCACTGTGTATACCTCCACCAAAGAAGCTTTGTGCTTAAAGAACATAACTCCTGTGTGTGTGTGTGTGTGTGTGTGTATGTGATTTCCTTCAGTGTCATAAAAGTAAGAATTCATTCAACGTGGAGTCAAAAGCAATCATCCAAACATATATTTCATCAAATATTAGAAACCTCACATGTGTGTGTGCGTGTGTGTGTGTGTGTGTGTATACATATATAGATGTATATATACAAACATACCAGTGGCCCTGCGCATGAATCTGTGTGCGAGTAGCTTGCTGCCACTTGCCTCAGTTGGCCCCCCTCCCACCACCGCTTGTAGCTCTCCACCGCACATAGCTCACTGCCCGCCCTTCTGTAGCTCTCTACCACTTGTAGCTTGCTGCTCTACCCTCCTGTCGATAGGTCGTTACATGACAGCATCCTGACCAATTTGCATATTACCATATTATAAGTATATATATACACACACATACCAGTATGTGTGTATATACACACACACACACACACACACACACATCCACCCTATATATGGTAACTAGTGATCAAGAGTCAGGCAATGTATTGGTTAGTGATTTGGGTTTCAGCAAGCTATAGAATTAGACTTTCTTTAATTCAGTGAACTATCATTTACCAAGCCTGTAAGTCCATCTACTTCACTTATTTATCATACACTACCTTATGGAAGCCATCAAGTTTAAATATGATACTTTATAGGCCTAGGGAGTCCAAATAACTCACTCTGCTTATGTATGCTATGTGACAGACTGTAGCCATGTAATTACCAGAATGCTAACTCTCGAAGTCCCATCATGGTCATCAATGACTTAATGTATTGTCTTTCTTTGGCAACATTGACTGATACATAGTAGATGAATGTAGAAAAAGAAATAATGCAGAAGAAAATGAAAATATCGGTCCCAACCCCTGCTTGGGCAACAAAAGGTAATATCTTCATATTTAAACCAGTGACTGACATGAGCTCTTCCATCACCGAGTGATTTGTTGTGATCTAAAGAAAGATACCAATGAACACATTGTTATATGAAGCTGATTATAACCTCATGCATTTCCTCTCAATGATAAAGAAATTATGTGCATTCCACTTTTAAATGCATATGCCTATCACTATCTGTCCCCCGGTAGTTCCTGCCACCCTCCAGTTTTTGTCTCGATTCCTTTGAACATCTTTCTACCATCTTCACTAGACAAAATCCAACTCAATCTCAAAGTCTCAGCTGAAATGTCATTTCAATTAGTAGGTCCTCTCTGATATTTCAGAGTATCTTGTTTCATTGTTTGCCTAGTTCACCATTTATAATCTCATGACAGAATCTAAACTCTTATTATGAACCATATATGCATTTCTCTCCCCCTATTATTCAGTATCCCTGGAAAAAAGTAACTGTTTTCTACTTATTTCCTGATCCTCAGTGCTTAGTGTAATGGTTTATATACAGTCTTGCACCACAAAAATACCTGTTGGTTAATGACAGACTGTATATACAACAGTGGTCCCATTGTCTAGAACAGTGATGGCAAACCTATGACACGCGTGTCAGAGGTGACACGCGAACTCATTTTTTGGTTGATTTTTCTTTGTTAAATGGCATTTAAATATATAAAATAAATATTAAAAATATAAGTCTTTGTTTTACTACGGTTGCAAATATCAAAAAATTTCTATATGTGACACGGCACCAGAGTTAAGTTAGGGTTTTTCAAAATGCTGACACGCCGAGCTCAAAAGGTTCGCCATCACTGGTCTAGTGACACAACTATCCTAACATCATAGCGCACAGTGGCCCATGACTGCACAGTGCTTGTCCAGTACATTGTGCCCAATAAATGAAGTGAATAAATCAACTAAATGATAAGATAGGATAATCCATAAGATAACCATCCAACAAAATTTAACGTACAATGCCATTTATTTCTTTAACTTAATACTTACTTCTATGATAGCGGCATTAATGGCAGCTTGAAAAGCTATAAAGCCTTTTTTCCAGAACAGTGAACCTTCACAGGCGACTTTTTCATTTGTTGTGTGACAATGAGCTTTAGGAAAAGAAGAACACAACATAAACAGTTATGATGGGATGGGGCAATCTTGGTGATAGGAAAAATGAAGACTTCAAATATTCCAAAATGCACTCCAAGTTCACAATAATATAGCGTATGGGAGGCTTTTTGCAAGTAAGGTTTGCAGGATACACCCAGAGAATATGCTTTGTTCATGTGAACATTAGTTCTCAACAATTTTTCACTCAATCTTATAATTCTTTCCATTACCCAAGAATATTTTGTTGAGCTTTGTTGAGCCAAGACTATTCTGTGGCTTTTGCCAAAGAAACACTAAATTTTTTAAAAGTTTGGTAATCATTGAGCAAGAGCCTTTTCTTGCAATTTTATTTAGGACTAACACAGGAATGCAGTCATGTGCCATATTACTATACTGGGTAAACAATGGAACACATATAATGAAGTTGAAAAATTCTTATAATCTAGGACTTGACCTCTTTTCCCTTAGATCAGCGGTTCTCAACCTGTGGGTCACGACCCCTTTGGGGGTCAAATGACCCTTTCACAAGGGTTGCCTAAGACCATCAGAAAACACATATATAATTACATATTGTTTTTGTGATTAGTCACTATGCTTTAATTATGTTCAATTTGTAACAATGAAATTGGGGGTCACCACAACATGAGGAACTGTATTAAAGGGTCACGGCATTAGGAAGGTTGAGAACCACTGCCTTAGATTGTCAAATGAAAAAATGATAATGCCAACACAACAATAGCTGCCCAGTGTGAGTGAATCCAAATTATACCTATTTTTTGTCAGTTCAGCAAAAAAAAAAAAAAAGTATTTTTTGGTGTGCTTCAGAATTTTAGTAGTTTATGTCTACCATAAGATGAAAAGGCTTAAAATCGCTGGCCTAGAGACATCATAGCCATTATGACATTATGCTTTTCTCAAGTGTTTGTGGTGATGCTGTTGTAAATAAACCTACTGCAACTATGTACAGCCCATAATACTTGATAATGACAATAAAGGACCATGTTACTGCTTTATGTTTTTACTAACTACATGTTTTATCATTATTTTAGAGTGTACTCTTTCTACTGAGATAAAAAACAGTTGGCTGTAAAGCAGTATGCCAGGCTATGCCAACAGCAGCTCATAGAATATCTCATGTTTACCGCATCTCTGGATTGCATCATTTTCTCTTGTGCTTAATTTAATCTCGTGTTGTTTTGCACAGTAACATGCTGTACAGGTTAGAAGTCATAGTCTATATCATATACAAACAGCCTAGGCATGTAGTAGGCTATACCAGTTAGGTTTGTGTGAGTGCACTCTGTGATGTTTACATGACAATGAAATCATCTCATGATGCAATTCTCAGAAAGTATCCCTCTCATTAAGCAGCGCATAATTGAAACAGCAAATATAATTTCTTAATAAGACAATATACTTAAGAACACATGCTTTTTTAAAAAAACAGGAATGAATCTCATTATGTTCAGAAATTAAAAGTCTGGGTATGTTGTGATACTTCTGCTCTCACATATGCTTCCTTTTGACTAATGACAACAGTAAAAAAAAAAAAAAAGTATTTTTCTAATGGGAAAGTTACCTGAATGGTCTCTGTATTCCTTGATCCTGGGGATTCTACCTCCCCAGATAAACTTTAAGTGATATGAGAAGTTATCGTTAAAGATGACTCTCACTGCATCTATAGAATAGTTTAAATTCAATGCATTCATGCTTTCCTCATCAGGCCACCCCGTGATTGTCCTTCCTGCGGGTGAAAGGGGGGAAAAGGTAAGGAAGATCTCTACGTGGTCCAAAGACAGCACACCACACACAGTCATGGTGAAGGTCTTACTTACATTCACGTCATCTCCTCACTAACTGAGAGAGTCACACTTGGTGTATGTGGTGGTGGGGGGTGCGGGGTGCAGGGTTCCAACACTCTAGATAAACTCAGAAGTGCTGTGTGGCAATCACTTCTATCACAGACTGTGCCTTTCCAAATGAAATACAGTGTGTCCCCAAAAGGGATACACAATTTATAGCTGATAGCTCCATTGATGTTTGTTTTTTCTTTTCAGATTTAACTTATTGGAATGAATAATCATTCAAAGTGTGTATACTTTTGGGGGGACACCCTGTATTTAACCAATACTTTAAAGCATGATGAATTTGGAATAGCAATACCAATGTATACATTTAAACTGATGTGCATATAGACCTGTCTAAAGTTGAAATATATATTACAATTATACATATATTCTATAATTATACTATACGGGGCCAGGCAAAAGTCGGTTTACAGTTGCGAGTACACGAAACACAGTTTATTCTTGTATTATTGATAATTAATGATTGTATTATTGTCCATACAAACAACTGTAAACCTATTTTCATCCGACCCTGTATACCTCCATTTGACAATGGTGTCAATATGGCTAAACTTCAAAGACAGCATAAAGTTGTTCAATTTGGGGAGTGTTTTCCCAAGAGACTTTGTTTATTCTAAAATATGTAATGCAAATGAGTGCCTTTTATGGACCAAACCCAGGCCATTTAACCCACTGTCTGGAATCTGTTGAATGCAAACGCCTGTTATAATTCAACATGCTCCACTGTCCTCTGTGCTTCCTGCCATCTGGCAGCTGGACCAGATATTTAATTAGACCCAGGTCCAATCCTTTGGTCCAGGCTACAGGTGGTGGTGTATTCTTTCATTAGTGCCATAATTGCTGAGTGTCTTGCTTTTTGTGATATGAGCAGCCATTGACACTCAGTGCCCAGATCCACTAGAAATTTCAAAATGATAATGTTCTATTTCCATCATTTGTTTTTCATTTACTAGAACATGTTTATAAAACAGTACTTTCCAGCATCTGTTTGATTAGCCAATAGTACAGTTCACATAGGATAAATGCTGGCATTTCCCCTTTATTTACAAATGTTCCTAACAACTGATTTCCTATCATCTTCCAAGGGCAAACATTTTTTTTCTGTATACATCACGATGAAAGCATGCATTTAAATATACATTGGATGAGTTTCAAATCATTGTGCTATTCTTGTTGAAGCTTAACATATGCCAGCTTTGACCCAGGAGGGGGTCTCTTGAAGTTGACTGCTGAGTTTTTCTGACATAATCTATTTGCTCTCAAAGGTTTCCTAACTTTCTGGAAGGTCAAGAGTCCTCCCCCTATAACTTTCTTACCCCAGATCTCTGCATCTCCTTTCTTCCCGTACCAAGACTCCTATGTTTCAAGGACTCAGGGGTGAGAGAATTAGACTATTCCATAATTACTTATTTAGTATATCCCACATGACTGACATATATAACAGCCTCAGAATAACATTCTAAAACTACAGCACCAACCTAATTACTAAAAATGGTCTTAATCATTCTCAAATTGGCCCTCTCTTTGCCGTGGTTACTGGCTCTTTCTTAAGGGGTTCTCATTCTCTTCTTGGGTGCATTAGATACCCTACAGCAAGCCTTGTGGCTGTTAGGGCTTCTTCCCCCTTCACTTACATCTGGAGGCCCAAGGAAACACCTCTTCACCTATTTTGTTGTGAACACTGTCCATGCTTTCTGAGTTTTTCTGTCTAATTTCTCTCTCAATTTTTATGCATTTCAAGAGATTAAAAAACCATGCTGTCACCATTGATCAATCTTTACGGAATCTCCTCACAAACATACATTTGAATAACCCTGGACTACCTCATTTTAATATGGACTATGCAAAGGAAAACCCACTTAACATAAAATTTCCTAATATAGGAGAGTAGTAAATACAGGAAGAAAATCTCCTTGATATCAGAAAGGAATAGGCATTAATGTCATGAATTAAATCTAGAAACTTAAACATTTAACACAGTTTATTAAAAGAATTTTAAAATGAATTTGTGTATTTTGCCAACAAGAAATTTACCGTGAATTTCTGGAGCACGTACCTTTCATAAATGGGGCTGATGCTACTTTGCTCATGATCTCCTGGGTAGTTTTGGATTCGGGTGCAAATGCAATAACGTAATTCGAATCATTAAAATGATCTACACGCCCCAGATATATTGCAGGCACTTGAGGAAAGTTATCAGTGTAATGTATAGTGGAAGAAAACAGGTATGCAAATAACACCAGGAGAAATGAGAAAAACCATTCCTGCACAGCAACAAGAGAAGATGGAGCAAATCAGTAGCTGTTCAACCACAGATAGGTCATTCCCAAACAAATTTAAACACTTAAAATTTTTATGTAGCTCAGATTCCATTTTTCCTCTATCCTAGTCTTGAACTCTCCCACATTTCTTGTCCTCTAATCTGCCCGTTTTGAAATGTGCACTTCATCTATCAAGATGGAGTTGTAGCATCCATCCTATAAAATAAAAGCCTAATATGCTAAGTGTCCAGTCGTCCCTTCAACCAATCAAAGCATAATATGCTAATGATATGCTAAGGCCGCTCAACCGCTCCCTTTGATGTGCACTGACCACTAGGGGGCAGACCCTCCAACTGGTAGGTTAGCTTGCTGCTAGGATCTGGCTGATCAGGACTGAGCTAGATGGGCCGGACATGCCCTGGAGCCCTTCTGCAGCCCCTCCCTGGCCCTGATCATACACCAGTGGGATCCCTCGGCCTGGGGGCCT